CTGTGTATCTCTCAGGTGTAACAACCCATCAGTAATAGTTCATTCGGGGGCAAAGCATCCTCTCCCTGCCGAGTCTCCTGACACACTGAAAAAGAGGCGAATCCACTGCTGTGACTTCAACGGCTGCAACAAAGTGTACACCAAGAGCTCCCACCTCAAAGCACACCGCAGGACACACACCGGTAAGAGTCACACACAAACGGTACATTAAAACACTTATATCATCCTTTACCAGCACTGTAAGACCAATTTTACCGGGGGGGTCCATGCTGTGGCCAATTATTGAGAGGGGCACTTTTAATGTGGGACAAAAAATACATTTTTAGTTCAGTATACAATTATAGAGCAACCCTATAGAAACATGATTGGTATTTGTTTTAGTTACAGAATTTGTGTAAATAACCATTTGAAAAACAAAACTTCAGCTCAAGTTACAGCACAATCTTCACTGCAACACTATCACAATAACATAGAATCCTTTTTCCGGGGGGAGGGGGCACAGGGGGGTCCAAGCTCAGTGTTACAGGGGCACTGGCCCCTGTTGGCCCCCTCCCCAGAACCGCCCATGTTTAAAAGCCCTTTTGCTGACCATCTTTTCTCCCTTTGTGCAGGTGAGAAACCCTACAAGTGCATGTGGGAAGGCTGCACGTGGAAGTTCGCCCGTTCAGACGAGCTGACGAGACACTTCCGCAAACACACAGGAGTCAAACCGTTCCAGTGCCCCGACTGTGAACGCAGCTTCTCCCGGTCGGACCACCTGGCTTTGCACAAGAAACGCCACCTCCTGGTGTGAAAAACTCAGAATCCCGGCAGCTTTAAAAAAACAACAACTTGTTGCTGGTTTTAACGTTGGACTGTACCACTGTGACTTATGGGGGGATTTTTAAAGAGTTTGCCTTACATGTTGGACTCCAGGGAGTGGGGAAATATTCCTTCAGGGTGCGAATTAGGACCCTTTCAACTCAGTAGCCTGAGAATTAGCTGGGGGTCCACCTATTAATCATGTAACCGTCACACCATCCTGCTTGCAGATTTATCAGCAGCTTATTTAGACATGTTGAGAGAAACCAGATCTCTGATCAGGTGTGGAAGGCCCAGACACTCTTTAAAATAGAGGCAGCAGCCTCTCAGCTGGCCTGAGAGCAGCGCCCTCCTGTGGCTGCTAAACATAACCGCATCTACACTCGCTCTGTTTAAGCCAGAAACAGCATGCTACTTTATACATCAGCTCACATTTCTCTGCATATATTAAAGTAAAGATTGTACACACACGCGTTGTTTGCTAGCTAGGCCAATATAATGTGAAACTTTCCAGAATGTATCATATCACACACATTGTGTATTGTGTCATACTTCAGCTTTTCATCAAAGCTGCTACCTGTGACATAATGCTAATGCTAACTCCTCCTTCATGGACCGCCACATTAAAGCACCACACACCTCATCTTCCTCTACAAGCTTAAATCATGAAGTGACTCTAAATAAACAAAGAGGTAGCTATTGCTCGCTTTCCCTTGTACATACATGCACACGTTTAAATGCACACACAGAAAGAAAACATGCACTTAATAAAAGCAGCCTGGGACTGGTGTGCTTTTGGAATTTGGGTTTGACAATAAGGGGGGGACTGGGTTGTTCATTGTTGGAGTTTCAAAGTGTTTTTATGTTTTCATTCAGAAATGTGAAAGTTGCTGCACAGGGGCATTATTGTGTTTGTGAGGAAAAGACACCACTCGGTTGGTTTAAGGGTAGAAGCAATGAAATGTCTTATATCACGTTTATGTATCAATATGAACTATGTTTGGTTTTTGACGTGACACAATGGTAGCCTTTTTCTTTTTATTATATGACACGTTTATATGGGAAAAATACAAAGTGCAAAGCAGATACATTTGCTCTTTAAATGTGTGTGTTTTCAGCCTTTCTCACAGGATATCTCCTTTTAAAGATTATGGCATTTAACAATATGTTTTCGTAACATGTCATAAGATATATTCTTCTACTACCCAATATTTGTTTTACCATCCACACAATTTAAGAGCACACATTTCTGTTTTTATAGCTTCTTGAGAAGAAAATTGTTTTGTTCATAGCATCTTAGTACATGTTTCCAATGTGCACTTTATATATATGTATATAAATCATTCCCAAAGCCAAACATTTTCTTATCACATCAGTTTTTCTATTCATTTATCTGCTGGTCAGTTTGATCAGAAACATCAGGTGTCTTTGTATTCATTTTCTTATCATTTAATACCATAAGAGGTTGTGATCCTTTAATTCACACACAGACAAACACATGCACGCACACACATATACTGAATGGAGTGGCTCAACAGATCTGCTTTTTGCCCCTGGATATGTTTTGCAATTTTTGCTTGTACATGTTTTGTATTTCTGAAAACATAAGTTGTAATATATATATATATATTTTATAATTGATTATTAGACTGAAAGGGCAATTAAAGGTTTTTATTAAGCATGATTTTGATACTCATAATAATGGATATTATACATTTCTATAATGTTCTGTCTAATATAAACCCTATCTCTTTTTAATCTAAATGTTAGCAATTCAAAGGGAACATGTTAAAACTGTGAACGTACAGGTCTATCTGCAATTTTGCATTTATTTTAAGACAGAATATTCATACCACTTAATAAACTTATTGATAATATTTGCAGAATGGAGTGCTGTGTCTTACATTTAGTTTGTGGGTGTTTTTGCTGGAACTGATGATGGAGTAGGTTAGGCAAGGCAAGTTTATTTATATAGCACCTTTCAACACAAGGCAATTCAAGGTGCTTTACAAAAAAAGAAAGACATTAAGAAAATGGCATTTAAAATCAGTCATTAAAAAGAAAAGATAATAAAATAAACATTAATAGAAAAAATACATGGATAAAAGTTACAGTGCAGTTTAAGATGTGAATAGTTCAATTAAAAGCAGCGGCAAAAAGAAAAGTCTTCAGCCTGGATTTAAAAGTAGTCAGAGTTGCAGCGGACCTGCAGGTTTCTGGGAGTTTGTTCCAGATATTTGGAGCATAATAACTGAACGCTGCTTTACCATGTTTAGTTCTGACTCTGGGGACAGAAAGCTGACCAGTCCCTGAAGACCTGAGAGATCTGGATGGTTCATAATTTAGCAGGAGGTCAGAAATGTATTTTGGGCCTAAACCATTCAGTGCTTTATAAACCAGCAGCAGTATTTTGAAATCTATTCTTTGACACACTGGAAGCCAGTGTAAAGACTTCAGAACAGGAGTGATGTGATCCACTTTCTTAGTGTTTGTGAGGACTCGAGCAGCGGCGTTCTGAATCAGCTGCAGCTTCCTAATAGATTTTTTTAGTGAGACCTGTGAAGACACCATTGCAGTAGTCGAGTCTACTGAAGATAAAAGCATGGACAAGTTTTTCCAAATCCTGCTGTGACATTAGTCTTTTAATCCTAGATATATTCTTTAGGTGATAGTAGGCTGATTTAGTAACAGTTTTAATGTGACTGTTGAAACTCAGGTCAGAGTCCATGACTAGATTTCTGGCTCTATCTGTTGTTTTGAACATTGCAGACTGAAGCTCAGCGCTAACTTTTATACGTTCTGCCTTGGCTCCAAAAACCATTACCTCAGTTTTATCTTTGTTTAATTGGAGAAAGTTCTGACACATCCAGTCATTGATTTGTTCAATGCACAATGAATGCATTGTGGTAGTTGATCGACTGAAGATTGTTTTTGTAGGTGACTTATTAAGCACAAATGAAAAGTTTGAAATGCTCCCTAATATAGCTTCTCGTTGAAGTTGAATATTTCCTCTTTTTCATAGCTCATATGTTATTACAAGAGCTAATAAACGTAATTATTTTATACACACAAAAACATACACACACAGGCAGCATCATCACCTGAAGAATATTATTAAAATAATAACAAATGATTAATATTGGTAATTGTAGGTATCATCAATAATTAAATCATTATAGAGGTTACTAGTTGTAGTCTTTTGAAAGTTGTAATATGATGTGATTTTTCACTATTTTGTGACATTTGATGATTATTTAAAAAAATACAGGTAGTGGGGTTTTTTTGTGACTGTGAATATACAGCAGGACTCAACTTGCTTGTCATAAACATAGGTCATAATGAAATTATTTAGTTTATTTTCATCAGTATCTCACCAAAAGAAATATTAGCTGTTAACTTTGTTATTTGCATTATACTTTGGATATCAGTGTATATATATATATATATATATATATTCATTGTTTATCTGAAGAAAAAGGGTGGGCTCGTCCGGGATTTGAACCCGGGACCTCTCGCACCCTAAGCGAGAATCATACCCCTAGACCAACGAGCCGCAATGAGCTCAGAGCAGAATATATGGTAGTTAAATATATTCAGTCCTTGAACTTGTGTCCATTTTCTATTGTGTTCTTCTTCATTATGACACCAAATAAGAATGGTTAAGCTTTTAGGCCGGTGGGAATTGCCAGCGCAGTGACAAATCCACTATTATGTGAAAATAACCAAGTCACATGCATCGAGATGATTCACCCCTCATTTCTGTCTTCGTTTAAAACCACCTCACCGTGTGCCTTCCCCTTTATTTATACAGCAAGTTGAAAATCAACTGCCATCAGGCGGATACTTTTGTTGTTGGAGCAAATACAATATGTGAAATTATCAACAGATTTCATTGTGAGACTTTTACATGTGTTGTATACCCTGTCCCTCAGCAAACGCACCGGACAACGGTTACAAAGTAGTTGTTTCAGTGGAGCAGTGTCTTTAATAATGCACTGCTTAAGCACTTGCTTTCTTCTTAGTGGAAGAAAACAGTAGTAGACAACAGTTGTTTCCAATGACTGTCTGTGTTCCTGAGGCAGTGAACTATCTTGTGTGACCATAGTCTTCGGAGCAGTGGTCACGTACCAGCCTGCCGACGTGGCGGGGCGGAAGAAGAGCCGCAGCCTGCTGGCACCACGCAACCGGGTGAGCTGCACTGTCACTTTCACAAAAACAAAACTGTCTTTGAGCTTTATAACTTTTCTACTTTCTCTAACTGCAGCAGCCGACTGACACTAATGGGCAACAACACGGGCGTTTAAGTTTTGATACATTGTTTAACTTGTTAAAAAGGTAGAACTTGTAAATAAGATCATTAACATGCGAATAATAGTCTTATTGTCATACTTTCCATCTGAACAGTGGTCTTTGTTAAATGTCTGCTTGACATTGCTCTGTATGTCAACGTTGTTTACTAATGTGTTTAATAAGTGTTAAGAGAAGCAGAAGATGCGTCGACATATTGATGGCAATATTGAATGACTGTTTTTGTAATTCTCAGTTTATAGTTATGGGCTACAATTATAACTCTAAAAATGATTTCGAAAGTTTCTGGATAAATTATTTTTACTCCAGAGTAATGGAAACATGTTGTCATTTTATACTTAAAGGGCCGTATTCTGCAAACTGTTGTCTGTTTTAATGGATTGCTGTATATTGATAATGTCAACTGGTTTGTTTACTATTTTGTTTACTATTTTGTCCATTACATGTAGTTTGTGAACGATGACAGTGTTAAATGACATTTAACTCAAGACAAACTTCGCAGTGTTTAAAAACCATGATGACAGGGATGACAGTTATCATGTGGATGCAGATACAGCAGGCTAACACCAGTAGTGTTAAATCATGAAGCAATCCTTAATCACTGCCTTTCAGTTTTCTATACTACTAAAAATGTGCCTTTCACATAGCATGCATCAGGTATGAAATGTATAACAGCAGCTCATCCTTTATGATATTTAGGTTTTTATTCAATCATCAAACATTAGATATTTAATTATTCTGTGAATGTATTCGATGGAAAACTTCTTAACCCTCTGCGGTGCTCGAGTGGATAAAACACTAAAAGCACATTATCTACTACAGATTATACTAAATTGACAGATGCCCAAACCAGTACTTGGCAATTATTTGCAGTGATTTCTACCTTGGTGATGTTGTTGAAATAAGGAGAAGTTTGGACTTTATTCTGAACCTTCACAGTGGAAGTGAGTCTAAAATATCTCTGTCCTCTCCCAGTACCTCAAATACAGCCTTATTGAATTCATGTCATTTGCTTGTCCTAAGCATTTGAACGTTGTGCTAATGAACCTAGTTACTTATGATAAGATGAATATTCACTATTTTGATTATCAATGTATCTTTTAAATCAAACAGTATTCAGCTTCTACTTTCTCCAATATGATCTGAAGTGTGTCTGTTTGTTTAATTGGTAATTAACAACAAACAAGATTATTCGTTGCATCAACAATTGAAATTGTGTTGTGAAAATGCAGGCAATGTCTTTATAAAATAACGTTAGGTTGTCTGTAGTCATAAGTCCCTACAGCCAGTATATACCGATATTAGACTAACCTTGTCAGCTTTAATTAATGCTATTTTTGTTGTAATGCAGGTATGTGTTGTATTATTTAAAATGTGTAACATAGGAAACATAGATTTATAAAGGAGTACATATCTGCATTTTCTTAACTAAAACCACTAAAATTAATCTCTTCTCTTCCAGATCACCATGTCCCAGGCTGATACTGACCCCTTTGCTGACATCAGCTCTCCCCCCACTGAGCCCCTTCACCCCGACCCTGGATCCTGTCAGGATGTCCCAGCAGCCTTTGCATCGCCTCCAGCCTCTCTACAGCTTCCTCTGATTCCTGAGAGTTTTAATCTCCCGCGGTCCACCACTGAGGAGACGACCACAGAGGACATGACCACCGAGGCTAACCCTTCAGAGGGTCCGACCGAACAACCAGGGCCTGCTGCTGAGGGTCAGGTGATCATATGTGACCAACCAGAACCCGCCGCTGAGGGTCAGGTGATCTTGTGTGACCAACCAGTGAGTCTGGAGCCAGACGCAGAGGCTGTAAAGGAGGATGTGGAGGTTTGTTGCAATCATTTCATTGGTTTCTTGTCATAAAGTGCAAAATATAACATTTTCTATACTCTGTTTTTAAGGCCAAACCTGTTTTTATTGCCAGAGTGACATAGTACAAACAGGGATATTAACTAGACAAAGGTAAAAACAAACCTTTGAAACAGGCTTGCATATATGCAAGTGTGTCATTAGTTGTATATAAATAAATTGACCAGAGAAATGTCCAGGTACAGTATGTGTGACGAGGACATTTTCATTTGTTACTTGGTTTTGTCATGCACCTTTTTTTTTTTTTAAGTATACCTTAAACTAGAATTGTGCCCTTGTGTTGGGCAGGACATATTAGAATTTCAAGCGAAAAGCTGATGACAATGTACAAAAAATAGTAAAATAAATATATACTGTATATCTCAAAGTTTTCCAGCTATTTATCTGTATGTGTTTATATCTGTAGAGCTCACTGCAGGAGACAGAAAAAGGTTGGGGAGTTTGGAGTTCATGGGGAAAATCTCTTATTAACAGTGCCACCTCTTCAGTGGGTACGTCCTCTGCTCCTATTTCCTCATTCTTCTTCTTTCTTGTCCTTACAACTTTACAAACTATTTTGATTTCCTGAGTCTTTACCTCATGTGTCTGTGTTCAGGTCAGAGCCTGACCTCGGTTAAAACCAAGGCAGGAGAAGCTCTGCGCCTCCACAAGACCTCAGTAGGAGAGGAGGCGCGAGAAGAGGAGGAAGCAGTGGAGGAACAAAAGACCGATGGAGGAGAAGGTGGAGATCCTGAGCTGTCCGTCTCTGCTGAGTCTCCTGTTAGTGCTGCATCTCCTGGCAGGGGCGTCTTCTCTAGCATCACACACGCTATGCAGAACACAGTGAGTGAACACACACACACATTCACACACAATCATGTAAACAATTACCTGCCAGTGATTTCTGATTCAAATCTGCTAAATTAAAAAATACGTTAGTTAATGCAAGTCAGAGTTTTGACTCACAAAGATATCTGCCATCCTTTTTCGGATTTCTTCTGCCCTAACTATGAATGGGTTCATAACTAAGCTGAACATAAAAGAAAAGATGGACACAAAAGAAGATTGCAGAAAACAAATAGTCCACAAAAAAGTATTTAGTGTATAATCTTAATATATAATTTAAACTTTTTCTATTATAGTCTATCGTATTACAAAAAGTTTTTTTCGCGTCACTATCTCAGTATCTGATCATTTCAGTTCAAGTAAAACTGTGGACTTTGTATCACTTTCATTATGCTTAAATATTTGTATTTCTATCTTTTTCAATTTCCTGTTTCTCTCTGTGTATCTCTTGTCTCTTTAGGGTAAGTCAGTGATCAGTGGAGGTTTGGATGCTTTGGAGTTCATTGGAAAGAAGACCATGACTGTTCTTGCTGAGAGTGACCCGGGTTTCAAAAAGACTAAGACCCTGATGCAGAAGACGGTGTCACTGAGTCAGGCATGTAGACATACTCTCAGAGCTCACATACAGACACTCAATATGTTTCCTTTTAAGAGATAAATAATGGAGTAAAACATGGATTTTGGTTTGGTGATATTCAGTTTGAATCCACATTTTGTCTGCTGTTATATGAAGGTCTCCCTGTGATTTTTTTAGATGTTAAAGGAAGCCAAAGAGAAAGAACGGGCCCGCCTGGGCAACCAGCCAATCAGTGTGCCCACAGCTCACTATGGTATTCTGTTTGACGACTACCAGGGCTTGTCACATCTCGAGGCCCTGGAGATCCTGTCCAATGAGAGCGAGGCCAAGGTAAGGCACCAGTGTGAGGAGTGCTTTTAAGATACAGTCTTTTTATCAAGTCATACACTCCATATCTGCTCCTAGGTCCAAGCCTTCCTCTCCTCCCTGGTGGAAGAGGAGCAGGACGAGGTAAAGAAGGAGCTGATCGTCATTAAGAATATCTTCATCAAGCGAGAGGAAGGTGAGGAAGAACAGGAAGAAGAAGGAGGAGAGATGAAGGATAACGGTGTTCTAAGTTCCCAATTACACTGTTCAACCCCCCTATGTGAGTGGCCCAAACCAGCCGCAGGGACCTGCTGGAGGTAGAGGCGGACCCTGAGCACTGACCCTGGATCTGCTGGCCATAATTTAATTTCACCTTTTAAATCTGTCAGAGGGACATGGGTCAGGAACAGAATTGATATGACACATACTTAAAGTAACTAAAACATGTCAGCGTCAGATTGTGACATAACGTTGTGTCTGTCAGTGTCAACAGACACAAACTAGTTTTCCTATTTGCAAAATCCTGGACAAATATTTCAACATTATGGCAACTGGAGGCATTTTGTTCTTCATCTACTACTGTTTCTCTCGTTAAGTAATATGTTCTGCAAAAGTTGGATTTACTGTCAAGGGGATGGCATGAGATGCCACTTGTCCGAGAGGGGCCCTCAGGCGATGTCACAGCAGAGCTCAAAGCAGACCGTGTCCCTCAGGGTCTAACAGGGAGCCTGATCCAGTGTTGGTGTTCAGGGGCCACTGACACGTTTCTAACACATCGCCAATTCAAAACAAAACCCACATCAGATGAAGACATTGAATCTGCATGTGTGTGCCTTACACTTTTAGAGCTGATTGTACTGATATATAAGAGTTGTAATTTATTTAGTACAAAACCATGAATCATAAGTGCACCAAATGTTGATTGAGCTGTTTAGCTGAAGGCAGACAAAATGTTTATCGTTATGCTCTTAGCATGGGGGGAAACACTGCATGTGGCTTTGAATCTGCTCTCATTCTACAGTTCATGCGTCTATTAGTTTAACATATGCAGTGTGAAGTACACTGATGTGATGTGTGTGATTGTGTGTGATTTTGTATTTATGCCAGCGGCCGACGGAGAGGAGTTTTTGAGCGTCCTCACTGAGCTGCTGTTTGAACTTCATGTAGCTGCAACGCCAGACAAACTCAACAAGGTGAGAAATGCTTGAGCTGACACACACACACTTTGGATGAATGAATATCCATTCATTCTTTCATTCATTCCTTAACATTTTAACCTTTAATTATTCACATTCTCATAAGTACATTTAAAGACTCGCTGTCATCGTTCCCCTTTTGCATACTGGCCTTGAAGTTGATGCATCTACAATTCATCCTCGTTTTTTAAGATTATTTTAAATGTGATTTTTATCAATATTTACACATATAACGACCAACAACCCAATTCACAAAATAAACACACAATCTTAAACATGGCAACCACAAAAAACTAATGAAAAAACTTTTCAAAACGAAATGATTTAAATATGAACCTAATTGTGTTGATATTATCTTAATTGTTACTTGTTCTACATCAAGCAGAAATTAACTCTTTATGTTCAGTTCATCTTTTTCAAACAACCTTTATCCTAAACAAATAAACACAGTTAAGGGCTCAATGATTCTGGCCTCAATATTCACTGGTGGTTTCTGCAGTTTTTGTCCTATGCTCTATCCTGAAAGGTTAGATTTCCCATTAAACCTCTTTTAATGTTATGTTCTCACAGTATATTTTTTAAAGCTCTATTCTGTCAATTAAAGAAGCATTCTGGGAAATGTAACAAACGTAGTATCAAAACACTTAAAGTCTATCAGAGAAAATCATTTTCAATAAACCCCCTTAATTAACTTACTTTCAACTTTAATTTAAATCTAAACTGCACTCTGAATAAATCTCTTCAGAGAGAATGGCCTAATTTCCCTTCCAATTGTACTAGATATTTGGACACACATACATACTAATATTAACATCCACTCTCTCCTGCTGCAGTCTTAGACCTAGAAATGATCACCTTTTGAAGTCCTTCTGCATATTCAAATTCACATATATAGAACCCACATTAGCATATCATCGTATATACACATCTCATTAGCATATATCAGGACTGAGATCTCTCTAATTATGCATCTGCAGGCTCGAATGAGGGCCCAGGATTGGGTGAGCGAGGTGGAACAGCCTGTCTCTACGGAGACGGTTGACAGGGAAACGCCACAGGACCAGCCAGCAGGAGAGGCCTTACCTGGAGAAAACGAAGAGGAGGAGAAGAAAGACGGAGAAGAGCATGTGGAGAAGAAGAGCGAGGGGGAGGAGGTGGAGGGAGGAGAGGAGGAAAAGAAGGAGAAAGAGAATGACCCCAGATGTGTAGAGGTGAGGTGAACTCAACAGTGTGACTCTAAACAGCAACATTACAGACATTATACTCTATTCTGTCACCTTTCTTTTTCACCTGCTGTCACGGACAGATTTGATTTGATTCAGTTATTCTTTGTATATGTGTTTGTGTGCTTTTCTCCTCCTGCTCCCCCTGCAGGCTGTCTACCTGTCATCAGTCAGCAGTCTTGCAGAAGTGACGGCTCGCAGTATCGAGCAGCTCCACAAGGTGGCAGAGCTCATCCTCCACGGCCAGGACCTGGAGAAACCAGCCAGAGACCAGGCCCACATCCTCACCAGGTGTGTGTGTGTGTGTGTGTGTGTGTGTGTGTGTGTGTGTGTGTGTGTGTGTGTGTGTGTGTGTGTGTGTGTGTGTGTGTGTGTGTGTGTGTGTGTGTGTGTGTGTGTGTGTGTGTGTGTGTGTGTGTGTGTGTGTGTGTGTGTGTGTGTGTGTGTGTGTGTGTGTTGTGTAATTTTCTAAAATCTTCATTTGTATTCCAGGTTGACATGTGCCATGTGTAAGGAGGTGAAGTGTTTGGCCAAGAAGTTCTCTGATACGCTGCTTCTTGTTGGGGTAGGTGAAAGGCATAGTTAGGTTTGTTTTTCTCCAAAATGTCATAAGCAGAAGTAGATAAACAAACCACAAATACAGCATAAATGTTTTTTTTCTTTTAAAAAGATCTTTAGAAAGGGCCACAACCTACACATTGTTTAATCTTTGTAGTTCTTTATGATTCATGATTGTTATGAAAATGTACAACCAGTAAACTAAGTGTCATCCTCCTTCTGCTTCCTGTCTCTCGTCTCTCTGTCGCAGGGCCAAAGGAAAGCAGAGGAGTTGAATCCGCTGGTAAACGATGTGCTTTTAGAGGTGAGATGCAGTCCTTTGACCTTAGATGATCTTGAATATAATTGACAATGAATTCAATGAATGCTGTGGTAAGCTCAGCGTGAAGATGACTGCTGTAAATGTCTGGTAATTGATCATGTTTAATGTGTTAATAGGGAATGAGGTGAGCTAACCTTCAAAGGATAAAGATCTGTTTAAATAAATTCACAAGGTGTTCAATATATTAATGGTGCTCAAAGTAAATTATGTTTTATAATTTCAACCTCAAATACCTATCCTTACTATTTCTAAAAAAAAAAAAATGCTCTGTATATTTTAAATATAGCTTTAAACTATACCCTAAACCACTTGTTCATCAATGATCACAAATCATTGAATTTCTGATGATGATGTAGTTAATGATGTTTATGGTGTTCATGGATTTCCTGTCTGCAGGGCTCCAACAGTACCAACTACATTGAGAATGCATTGCAGCTGCTGCTGCCCGTTCTGCAGATCTCCCACATCCAGAGCCAGCAATGTTGCTCCAATTCAGAACCATCAGCGCAGACACAGCACTAACAGACACACACACACACACATACTCGCCAAATGCTCACCTGCTCGCCTTAATGTATCTATTGTTGTACAGAAAGTATAGAGAATAGATTATTTCAGATCCCATGCCATCGCTAAAGGCCAAAGATGGTTTACACATACGTAATATCATTTTGAAGATAACAGTTTAACAAAATAGACACTTGTAAAAATTACCCATGTTTGACATTATTTTGACTCAGCATATATTTTTCTTTGAGGACACTAACTGACTTGTTCAGAGCTTATTCAAGCAAAGCTACAACTCAATCTGAAAAAACATGTTTGTGTCGTCTCCAAAAACTGAACCAAAAAAAACGGACTGTATGAAGGGACTCTACGTTAATTTAAGCTTTCTTTGCACTCCTTATGGTTCTTTGTGATTTCAATATAAAGACCATTGACTTACACTAGTGACATGTCTGTTTGGCTGAAATGTTCTTTGAATCTGGTTGGAGGCTAAATGCCAGTATTAGTGATTATACACAACACATTTAGCTTGTCTCTTTATTTGTTTTGTGTATGTTAAATGATGAAGTACCACTCTTATTCGGTTTGATTTGACACAGATCTGTGCTTCATACTTTAAATGAGAAAATATTAAGTTCTCCTGCCTTATTTTCTATACCTTATTGTTATACTAAAGATGTAATGTAAATGAATTAATCTCTAATTATGTTTTGTTATGCTGCTATATTTAGTAATAGTTATATAGTACAAATTGTTTGAGTTTCGATTTATTGGGGATTTTTGTTTATTAGCTTTCTTGCCTCTTGAGAGTTAGCTGAGAGGTTCGAAACCACTCCTCATCTGACTCTTGGAAAGAAAGAAACAAATGTCACTCAAATGTTTACCCTTATCTTAATAACTAAATTACACAACATGACTACTGCTTGGTCCAAATCTGAACATCTTGAAGAAGACATTAGCCAAAACATTTGAATTAATCTTGTCCTCCTTGTCCACACTTCTGGCTCCCAGGAGGTAAACATCTCAAACAGTTTCAAAATGATTATTTTCCCCCTTTTACTTCAAATGTAAAGTTTTAGCAGCCATTCCAAGGTGCTCACGGCACATCTGTTCTTTAATATCCAGTGTTAAATTGGCTCTTAGCTTCAAGCCATTTCTCCTTTTCTGCTACTTCCCTTTTTAGAGATGCATTGCAGGCACGAAAGAAATGACTGTCGTAATGTTTTAACTCTTTCAGCTTCATCCAGATGAGATTAGGCTGCGCAACAGCGATGCTTCTGCCTTAGAATACAAAATTATTTGTAATGTGAAATGAAAAGTCATTTATTTAAGTTTGGAGAGTTTACTAATATATTGTGATTCCCTTCTAATAATAATGCCATTAGACTGTCAAAAATAAATGTTTAACTTCATATTCATGTGTCTCAGATGTTTTTATTGTTACCATTAAGGTGGCTGGTAATTAAAGCTGTCCTTTTTAATTTTTGTCCAACACACAAAAGGCCAAAAAGAGCAACGTTGCAAAGGCTTATTGAGAATAAGCTCTTCTGGCTGCTCCTCTGTCATCAGGTCTGCTCCTCTGATAATGAAGACATGAAGGGATGGTTGCGATGATGAAGATTTGCTAAAGATAAACAAAAAAGAAAGATGAGTGTTAGATAACAGGATAAAGAGTCAGAGTGGATGACCTGAACTCCCTAAATGAGGTATATTTGATGTAGGCTACAGTAGTTAGTTGAAGTATAATCATTTTCAATATAAATATACACAAGACATCAATCAAATTAAGAAAGACAATACAAATGGTGCAAGTTCAGGAGCCCCTATTGTCGAGACAAAAGTCAATATTAAAATAAAGATAATAACTGATAAAAATGGTGAAGGGCACCAGTGAAGGGCAAATTCTAAATCTGGCTCCAGTCCAGCAGGTGGTGACAGGGAGCCTAACGTGCCTCAAAGAAGAGCCAGCCTGATGCAAAGCACCTGGAGATGCACACTCTCAGCAGAGGACAAAAGACAGAAACACTTAACTGTGTTCGTTTCTCAATCGCAAGTAAAACTGCTGCAGAACAACTATTTCAAGTATACTACGTCATCGAGTGGCGCCGAAGGACTGTTTAAATGTTCTTATTATACATTATACATCCATGGTTAAATCTAAATGCCCAGCATTATGTGCCACTCTGACGTAGTATACTTGAAATAGTTGCTCTGCAGCATGTGTACTCGCGATTGAGAAATGGCCCCTGAGGGGCAGAGAGGAGAGGATTGACTCAAGGATTCACCCAAAGACACTGCTGGTAATATTTCTAAATATATTTATCTGGTTTTAAGATAAGTTTGATGAAGAACATTGAATTGAATAATTATTTCTAGTTAGTCTTACAAATTATTAATCTAAAATATAAGAAACTGGAATTAATTTACTTTGTTGAGATGAATTTACTTTTGACATGAAATGTTAAATTGTCACTTGATTTACATTTAAAACCATAGAGCAGAAATTAAAGCGCATGTTTAATTTTGGCATGTTTTTCATTTAAATGTTTTATTTGCCTAAATTGTTCTAAGTTAATGAAAGTGTGTTTTGTGTTTTTTAATGGTTTTCAACCTAAAATGTAAATGATGGACATGGAAGCTAAATTAAGCTCCATGAAGCTAAAAGAACAATACATGATCTCAAATAAAAAGAAAAGAGTCAAGATGTGAGTTGTCCCGTGTGTCCTTTTGGAGTGAACAGGCCATTTTCAAGTTTAGGCAGGAGTCAATCAACCAAACCCAATCAGAATTTGACACTATTATCGGTTAAAGTTATCAAGTTTGTATAAATGTTTTATGTGATTTTTATTCCAAATGGATTTTTAAAAAGTATCGGCATTGTTAAAGCAAATGCATCTAGCTTAATTAATCACTGCACCACCCGGCGAGCCCACTCTGTGACCAACCCAGTCTCACGGCATTTCGTGTTCACCAACACGATTTGCCCCTTTTTTTCGTGTTGCACAGCACGATTTTAAAAGCAATGTATTTCTACTGCCTGCAGCACATCTTTTTCTCCGGTCGGGTCGAGGAAGACCGGAAGCTGTGTGGTTCATAAAAACATGTTCTTACTCAATATCAAGCCACAGTTATTGCTTTTATTTGAAATCGTATAATTATTTAAAATAATACTTAATTCCGAGCGCTCTTGCTTTTCTCTTTGAAAGTCATCACATAACGGCATTGTAATACACGGTTCGGCTGCATTGTATATTACAGATCTGCCGTAGTTCTTTATTTATAGAGCCCTGATGAGAAGACCTTTGGAAAAACTGAGAAAATGCCGCCGAAACTGAATACTTGACGTGGATCATGAATATATTCAACAATTAAACAACATCTTCACACAATACGTCTCCTTGCAGTATCAACACTAATTCGGCTGACTTTTACATTTGATCTAATTCACAGATAGGTTATATTTACACCATAACGGTGCACAGCTGATATAAAAGGACTGTAGTTTTTAAAGATATTACTGATTTTCTTTGAATATAAGAATGTAAATACTGAGTCTGAAATAGTATAGCAATATACTGTAAAATAATGTGAAAGCATGCATAAAACTACACATCTTCAGATGTTGTACGAAAACATAAGTGTCCTACATTTATAATACAAAGTTATTATGGCTGTGTGTACCTTGTGTGCACCTCCTAGTGGTTAAAGCACGTTATTGAATTATTGTTATATTTGATTAAAAAAATATTAAGAGTACATACTTTCATAAGGGGATAGTATAAATATAGAATGTAAAAAATCAAGAAGATACTATAAGTGATCTCTACAATAAAACAGTTTAGTGCAGGATGTACAAAGATATTAATAGGAGGAGGTGCAAAACAGAAAAACGAATTAACCTTTATTTAAACATTAAATAACAGATTAAGGTCTTCTTTTAAATAAGAAAAAAACTTTGGGGGTATCTATCTACAGATAAATATTAAGCCTGACAAAGTACTTAACGTCTAATATATTGCTTTCCTGCAATGTTAACTATGTTGAAGCACTTATTTTTAACTGATATTATACATATGAATTATACTCTTATGTATGTAGATAGAATAAGAAATGTGCAGAATATGACAGTTTGATGGTGGAGGTACACACATATTGATAGATGTCTTGTTGAGGAACCTGCGACCCAAGTGTTTCATTCATTGCATAACTACACCGTAGTTGTGTATATGATATGTCAATAAACCTTTGAAAATCTTGAAAGGGATGTGCAAAATAGCCATAATATACAGTCTTTAATTAACTAGTAGAGAATAACGAGTAATGAATATACTTTATTACTCGTTTCCATTCATGTCAATTGCAGATACATGTTTAGTCTTCTCAAGCACCAACTATCAAATATCTCTCCTGATTGTTGGCACTTGACAATCACCTTACCTGAATTTTACTCAGGTGTAACTAAAGTCTGATTTAAGGGTTGTTTATATTTCACATAATTAATCAGAATCTGCAAAGAAACTCAAATAAATGCAGTGTAGTAAAAATACCAGGTTAACCTCTGAATTGTAGTGGAGTAGAATTACAAAGTAACAATGAGCTGTCATGTGGGTATTAATGCTGCGCATTATGGACACAAGCGATTTTCACCCATGTATTAATTATATGTTTTAAATTTGATAACACCAATGTGTTTAATACTGGCAACTTCTAATTGTGGGAAAAACGAAAACGTTCAGTAGAGATGTCCCATAGAACATTTTGCGAAACACAATAGCCAGCATGTGTAGTTCTGGGGGGGCGTTCGATTCCAGTTTTGGATAGTCTGGCGTGGTTTTGTTCCATTTCACACAGCTGTTTGACGCTCTGCGTAACCTTACGGGACTGTAGTCCTAAATGATAGCTGGGGATTATGGGTAGTGTAGTGTCTTCGGCCATCCTAAACTCAGAAATGTTGACAATCGCAATGATGCTCGAAATGTCCCTTATAGGCCTATGTCTGTTTCCGGTTATTTTTATTTTGAAATTCAGTTCCTGACGGACGCCAAAAAAAACCGAGATTATGGAATTAAACCAATAAATAAAAGCAAGGATAATTGTGTGTTATTGGTGAGTAAATAACAGTGTGTTATTTTGAAAAGAATAACGAATTAGAAGGAAAAAAATATTTAAAAATACAGATTTCCGTATTCTGAGGCTCTGAGCCCCATTTATTTTCCTCACAGACGGCAACAAAAGTCCGAAATTATACGATTTCAAATAAAAGCAATAATTGTGGCTTGATATTGAGTAAGAACATGTTTTTATGAACTACACAGCTTCCGGTCTTCCTCGACCCGACCGGAGAAAAAGACGTGCTGCAGGCAGTAGAAATACATTGCTTTTAAAATCGTGCTGTGCAACACGAAAAAAAGGGGCAAATCGTGTTGGTGAACACGAATCAATAGATTACAAATCGTGTTGGTGAACACGAAATGCCGTGAGACTGGGTTGCTGTGACACAGGTGCGTGCAGGTTTGTTTAGCTAACAAGCTAATATGCTAATGTGGTCATCCTCCAGGTGATTTCTACTCAACTGAAGAAGTGTTAACGTCACTGAGGCGTGTAAGGACTTCCTGCTGTTAAAATCATCCTGCATACAGCTGCTTTTTATGTTTTGAGTTATCAACTCCAAACGTGTTTTATTTTAGCAGCTCAGTTGGAGAGGCAGTGGATTCGTTATTTTTGCACTGAGAGTGAAGGAGAGGAGTTGAACCTGCTGCAGATTGAACAGGATTTGCGGTGGTCAAAGTTCCAACTCAGAAGTTTTGAAAGGCGAGTAAAACAACAAATGCATTGTTTACACTTACAGAAGAGGATGACAAAAGGCACTGCAGCGTTTAGTGTGTGCACTATGAAGTGATAGCCTTTGCAACGTTGCTCTTTTAGCTAATGGAGTTTACAACTCTGTGTTGCTTGTTGTTTAATAATGTCGATTAAAATATGATGGGCTTGTTGCGGTAGTATGTGCTGTTGCCAACACTTCAATTAGGAGATCTAATGATTTTTATCGTTCTCGGTTGAATGGAAACAAGTTGTGCAAAGGAAATTGTAAGTGCAGCCTTGACATGTTCATAATTTAACTGTAATGTGTATTTTCTAAGTGTAATAATAATTATTGTTGTAATGTTTCATGCGTGCAATATTTCGTCTTTTATTTTGAAGTCCAAGCTCACGTCTCGTTATGCTGTTCTCACGTGAGTTAGAGAGCGAGAACATGAGAAGCACCCTCAGAGTAAGATGCACGGATACTTACAGCTCCGTTAGTTTTGTATTCTTATACATTAGGCCGCAAGGTGAACCTCGAAAAGTCCTTTAGAAAAGAAATCCCGCTCCACAGAAGTGAAACTACACAATCTTTAGTTCATAAAAAAGAACGATTCATGCTTATCCACCAAAAAAAATTTCGTCGCTAAAATTCCTGCCAATTCTTCTAGGCACGTAATTATTGGCTGAACTATTCCCTTCGAAGCGTAATAATATCTTGGTCCAAAGTCGTGCCACGGTTCATCACGTGATCGTGCTACACCAATTGGATAGCTGCATATTGTCAACAGAAGTGAAAGATGGCGGCCGCCATGGTTTCATCGAGTAGCGGAGACGAGGAAAACGCACCAGAAAGTCTCAAAAAGTCAAAATTGTCAACACACAAACATTGTTACATGCATATTACGTCTGTGAAGCACGAAAAGGTTGATTGTTTTACCAATACAAGATGGAATACGTACAGGACAAGCTTACAACGGTCGCTCGGCTTGAAGGGAGACTCTCGGAACGTGGTGGCTGAAAACCACAAGCACTGTCTTGATTTCGAGTTCGAAGATATTCCTGAGGACGCTGGCTTCCACCACACATGCTACATAAGGTTTACCGACACAAAGGCCATGACGAAGGTGGAAAGACGGCTTGCACGTGAGGGAGATCAAAACGTTAGGGAGGACCTTGAGGTCGAGCCCATCCCATCGACGTCTCGCAGCACGTACCGAAGCCAAACAGAGAAGCTACGATCAAGGTCAGGCCTGCCAATCGCAGGCTCTGGCCCCGTCCTTCCTGCCCTGTGCATTATATGCAAGATGAAGGAGGAAATGATCATCAAAGCAGGCAAGCGACAAAGGGATCAACTGTGTAAGGCTGAAACATTAAAAGCAGGTAAGCAAACCCCCTCCCCCACACACACACTACACACACACCACACACACACACACACACACATTCTCTGTGGTTGAATAACTGAAAGGTACAATTATGTGTGAGAGATACGTCAACAAACTCATTGAGTTGTCCTTTTTTTCCGTTTAGGCAAATTGCAGAAAGCTGCTGAGAAGAAAGATGACCAAAGTGTTGACCAGCAGGCAAGGAAGTGATTTTGCGTGCTGACAAGAAGTTATTTTCCAGGCTCCTCATCCTTGGCCAGAGCAGGAAAATTGAAATGAGGGAAATTCTGTCATATTCCTTGGGAACTGTGTCATATCCATTAGCAAGTGCTGATGGTTCACTTGCCAAAACAAACAAATCAGCTCTCATGGATCTATTGGAGAGCAAAGGTGGAGAGTGCTTGGTTGACAAAGTTCCAATAGGTGGTGCCATTCTTTTTGATGGCATGGCAGTCATGCAGGCCATGCCATCCAGACCAGCAACATTTGGAGAGCTTGCAGAGACCATACTGCAGAGCATACTCCAACTTGCTTTGCATCACAAGTGTACACGCATTGATTTTGTCACTGACCGGTATCCACCCATCAGCATCAAAAGCCTAGAACGGTCCCGTAGAGCTGATGCAGGGTCACAACTAATAACAATCTTCAGCCCAGATCAGAGAACTCCAACCCAGTGGAAGAAGTTTCTCTCTGACGGAAAAAATAAGGAAGCACTGGCCGAATTCCTTTATGTGGCATGGACATATGCAGACCTCACAACAGTGGGTAAAAACCTCAGCTTGTACATTGCCCATCAAAATCAATGCCACTGTGTAACTGTCATGGAGGGTGTACAGTCTGTTGATGTTGTTGAAGACCTGCAGTGTGATCATGAGGAATGTGACACACGAGTGTTTTTACATGCCCAACATGCTGCACAGGAGCACAAAGCTGTCATCATCAAGAGCTCGGACACTGATGTGGCAGTCATTGCTGTAAGTCTGCAGGCAGATTTGCCATGCAGCTTATATGTGTTCACAGGGACTGGCAACAGGACACGGATCATTGACATTGCCATGGTGTCATCAGCTCTCGGAACCAGTGTGTGTTCAGCCTTGATTGGAATTCACACGTTCTCTGGGTGTGACTCCACAAGCGCTTTCTATGGCAAAGGCAAAAGAAAGTCATTTGCTGTTGCATGTGAGAAAGATGACTACCTTAAGGCTTTCAGAAGTTTAGGTACTAACTTTGACTTGGAGCAATCAACATTTGCACTTCTTTGCCGGTATGTATGTCACCTGTATGATCAGCCAGCAGCCGAACATGTAAATGATGCTAGGTACAAGGCTTTCTGTATGGCATCATCGGCCTTGCCAGAATTAAGCATTCCCCCTACTCATGATGCCCTCCATCAGCACTGCAAAAGGGCAAATTACCAGGCAGCAATAATGAGGTCCTGTCTCAAAAGAGAAATGAATGCTCCATCACCTGCTGGATATGGTTGGGGAAATAGAGGATGGGAACTTACACGTCACCTGGATGACAAGAAATCCTGCCCCTGACAGTGTGTTGCATGTGATACACTGCAGCTGCAAAGAGTCTGCCTGTGAGAAAGGCAGATGTTCATGCTTCTCTGCAGGACTCTGTTGCACAGACTTATGTCGTTGCTCAAATTGTGCAAATAAAAAAGAAACAGAGGAAGAGAACGATGACTGCCCTGACACTGACAGTGAGGAATAGGAATAAAAGAGCCTTCTTTCCATCTTTCTTAAGCTCTTTTCTGTTCTTTTGGTTTTAGTGCCTGGCCGACGCGCTCACACATCACTCATAGATACGTTTGTTTTTGGTACTAGAACAGAGTATAATCAGCAGGACTCTTTTAACCAGCTGAGGCAATCACAGCACCAATCAGCCGCTCCGCCCAGCCTGACACCAATCAATTATACTACATTACATGTCCTTCTACTGTTTTCTATGTCATACCTTTTATATTTGTAATAAATCTCGTTTTTATGGTTCATCAGTGTTGTTTTCATTTGTGGAGGGATGAATGAGTAAATAAATGAATCAATGGACATTGGTATAAGTAAGGCAAGGCAAGTTTATTTATATAGCACTTTTCAACACAAGGCAATTCAAAGTGTTTTACAAAAAATTAAAGACATTAAGAAAATGGCATTTAAAATCAGTCATTCAAAAGAAAAGCTAATAAAAGAAACATTAAAAGAAAAAATACATGGATAAAAGTTACAGTGCAGTCTAAGATATGAATAGTTCAATTAAAAGCAGCAACAAAAAGAAAAGTCTTCAGCCTGGAAGTACTGCATTTTATTGATCTAAATTACTTAACGTAACAAGTTAACCTTCTTCTTGGACGCAGAAATCAAGTCATGTTTATTTTAAGAGTGCATTTAACGTGTACAGGGTAACAACAGACAGACAAAAAGTCCTCAGTCTAATGGAATAATCCCAATGAACCTAGCGATGTGAACATGGCAGTCCAGGAATGATAGTTTGATAAATATGAGTTTGATATACTTTATTAATCCCCGTGGGGAAATTGTTTGTAGCTGGAGTTGGCTGATAAACGCTGCTAGTCAATGTTGATTCGATGGTCAACTCTGTTCCCAGATAGTAAAACCTCTCACAAATACCGCGTATATAACGCAAATACCTCGGACTTAGTGATGTATTAAGACATATGACAAAACATGACATAAAACAAGCATACAGCACTGTTTAGAATCCATTTGGTCTGGTTTAGCGTAACCATGGCGGCCGCCATCTTTCACTTCTGTTGACAATATGCAGCTACCCAATTGGTGTAGCACGATCACGTGACGAACCGTGGCACGACTTTGGACCAAGATATTATTACGCTTCGAAGGGACTAGTTCAGCCAATAATTACGTGCCTAGAAGAATTGGCAGGAATTTTAGCGACGATATTTTTTTTGGTGGATAAGCATGACTCGTTCTTTTTTATGAACTAAAGATTGTGTAGTTTCACTTCTGTGGAGCGGGTTGAAACGATAACAGGGTTCACCTTATGGCCTACATATAAGTTGTGAAGAGAACTGAAGAATACTTCCTTCTGTTTACAGAGCATGCAGCCCAACGAGTTTTCACGGTGGATTCGGAGGAATAACCCCGTTATGAGAAAGCCACTTGTGTCTGCCTGTGCTTCGAGGGAATTACAGTGAAAACTCGACTGTCCATCGACGCGAGTGTGTCTTAATTGACGAAGAGGCAACTTCAGAGGATCACGGACTGAGCACGAGGCTGTCTTCAAATGGCCGCCGGAGGAGGAGAAACTACGCATGCACACCATAGACTGTATATATAAATGAACGTAGTGTCCGTGACGTCACCCATAGGATTCTGCAGAGTTGCCGTGAAGCCCTTAGTAGGCGGAGAAGGCCACTAACGGCTCGACTGTGACGTCAGAGTCTAATCCCGCCTGCTCCAAATAAGGGCAAAGAGGCGGAGCCGATGCGGGACCTGCTGCCTCCGAACTGGAAGTAAACAGAGCTAGCTCAGGCTAAGAAGCTAAGCTAACATGAAATACATGCATACCAAGTTACATGCAACAGTGTAGTTCCCCTATATAAACGTTACATTCATAATCAAATGAGACAATCTGCAAGAGAATTAGCTATATTTTGTTATTCTTAATGCTTGTCATTCACACGTTGAGAAAAGACGGACTCCACCGCCCGGACCTAAGGGAGCCGCAGTGGGCTAGCTCCGGGACGCCGGCTGGAGCTAGCCCCCTGCGGCTCCGTTAGCTCCGGCGGCCACCACTGGGATAATTGGGTCCCCTATTAACATTTGCTCCCGTTTAGCATTATGGGCGTCATAGCCATATACTATAAAAGTCTTACCCAAGGCTGAATCATAAACTAAAATGTATGTGTTAAGTGTAAGTATTAATATGTCTGCATGTAACTGCACTATAACTTCCACAGTAAGAGGGCGCTATAGGCGTAAGGAGGCGCAGCTATTGTAGCTGACGTCAGGTATCAGATATAAGGGATTGTTCCCTCCCCTTCTATCTCTCTCTCTCTAGCTCTCATGGAGAGCAGGTCAAGTGGTGCAATGCACATATGAAAATAATAAGGCTAAAGAAGACCTCGTCGTCATGACCAGTTTATTGCTATACATGTGACTCTGTCAACAGTATGCATAAAGGGTTACGTCCTTAGCTGGCTAATAAGTAACAAGCTAAGCTATCAAGCACACAAACACCTGCGAACGGGGTTAACATGTATAATATTATCATTTTAGACTTCTTGGAAGTTCTGTTAGTACATTCAAGCGCACAGCACGACATTTTAATTGTCTGGTATTTGTAACAATATTCCCTAAAAGGCACAATCACCACGAACACGGCTAAAGCTAAAGGGTCAAGTACAGTACTATGACTAACTAACGTTGTAGCCTCTATGGTTGTAGCCTAGCAGAGTGGACAAGTTGCTGTTAGCTGATAGTGAGGCATGTACGTGTCCATCAACGTGACCACGCCCTAATTTATGCAAAAACGTTAAGACCTAATATAAATAAAAGGGTCGTGTTAGAAAACAATTCACTCACAGATTCATAATCATGAAGGTGGAATCTAACTGTAAAGGAATATTTTGGTCTTGTTAAAGTATATAGAGTTTAGTGATTTGTCCTCGGGAATCTGTTTAATGGTTAAAGTGTATTCCTGCCTGTAATGTGATCCATAGCTTCTCAGGAAGACACAGGTCAAGAGGTCATCTGATGTCTTGTGGGGGAGAAGCTTGGCTCATGTGGGTTTACAATGCAACGAGTCTTTGTCTCGACATCTGGCATGCATTAAAGGAAAACCCGCGTGTTTTAGGGCCCTCCTCTTCTCCATGTATAGATGGGTGCTTGGCGCTTTTGGGGCAGAGTTTGCTGGGATCTTACATGAGAACTGTGATATGCTGTGAACTCTCCGGCCGTTCAGGCTCTCAATAAATATCAGTGTATTGACAGGCGAATCCAGTTTCACTCATTTCATGATTGGCTCAACATTGCTGCAAAGAAGTTTACCTTCACACTAACTATATCGATAATATTTATTGCATCCATGGGTAGAAACATGTTTTTTCTGCTGTAAAGTTGGGCATTTTAACATGGGGGTCTATGGAAATTGCTCCTTTCTGCAGCCAGTCCCTAGCGGCCCATGTATGAACTGCAGTGTGTGGCACTTCCGTATTGGCTTCCCGGCTGTTCCCCAGAGTTTGCCGCTTGATGCACACACAGAAGTGGACGACGCGCGCAGTTTTTAAAAGAGCAACGCTTCAAGACAGAGCCATAAAGAACTTGGACACTAAGAAATCAAGAGTGATCTGAGTAAAGGGCTTCTGTAAAGGTTTGCTAAACCATTATTACTGTGAGTGCCAACTATAGTAGTGTGTGTGGTTAGCGTTTTGACTTATTTGCTCATGTCAATTTATTAAGGCTTGTTAATTAAGGCGTAAAGTTAAAGGGAACATACGTGTTTTTATTTCCAATTTCTAATTCAAAGTGTGTTTTTGGGAATAATAAGTGAAAGTTATTTAATTGAAGTTCTGAAGTCTTATTTTTGAGTATATTTTTGAAAGGTGTAAAGTTAAATTAAGCTGTTTTTTGCACATTTTCTATTTTAAGTGCATTTCTACCTCTATTGAAGTCTTATAGGGTACATTTAAGTCACACTTACATTTGAGCAAGTGTTGAAAGTTCATTAAAAGGTTTAACTGCATTTAGCTGTTTTATAAAAGTGAGTCACTTTAAAGTAGTGATTACTAATGTCTCAGTCTAGTGAGCCTACAATTCAGGTTAGGGAAAGTACAGAGTCCCAAGACGAAGCTGTGGATAACACTGAAGCACAGCAGCTAAGAAGAGGTCAAAGAACTAAAACTCCTACAGAAAAGGGTAGAGAAATACAAGAAGAACAAATGAAAACGCTCTTACAAAAGCTCTTACTACAATTATGAGAAATGGAGAACACAAGTGAAAACAGCTAAGCGGCCATTATCTCAAACAGTCTTTATCTGAAGATTTGCTTAATGACATAATTCATGATGTCACAAGTTTGTCAGAAGATGTCTGACATGTTTATGAGGATCTGCGTACAATCTCAACTCCAGACCAGGACACGCGTCGAAGAGTGGATCTGTGTGCAGAGATTTCTAAGTTTGTCATCATCAGAGCCTCAAGTCTCCTGGATGGAAAGGTTCCAGAAGGAGAAAAGAAAGATTGGCCTGAAGCAGGTTCTCTCTTTAACTCAAGCACCTCCACTTCTTCTTCGAAAAGCAACTCCAAGCAATCGAACCAGTCTTCTGTGAAACGACAAGAATCTGAGGCTGCTGCAAGCCAAGCTGTTCTGAAAGTGTTACAAGAACAAGAAAGAGAACATTTGGAGATTCAGCGCCTGGAAGCAGAAGCTAAAAGAAAGATAGCTGATCAAGAGACTGCAGCCATGAGGCGTTGTTTAGAAAGAGAAGCAGAAGAGTTAAGACGTTGTTTAGAAAGAGAATCAGAAGAGTTAAGACATCGTTCAGAAAGAGAGGAAGAGGAAGCTAAAATTAAAGCTTGTCTAGAAGAAGAGCATGTAGCTCTACAACAGACTCTGGATGACAAACGGAGAAAAATACAGCAGTTGGAAGCAGTAAAAGATTTCAATGCAGCACGAGCAAGAATGCAAATGTATGACCAAGAAGAGTCCATTAAAGAAGAATGGAAAGACGTGCTAGAGAGGGATCTGGTAAGTAACCCAGTGCCTGCTCCCACAAGTCCTCAACGACAGGTTGTCACTACTTCCTCAAGTGAAAGTACAGCAGAGCTTGTTAAGGTGCTAGCTGGTGCCTTAACTGCCAACAGAATTCCAGTTCCTGAACCTTCAGTATTCAGTGGGGATGCATTGAAATACAATGAATGGAAACTTTCATTTGAAATACTGATTGACCAGAAGAACATCCAAGACAAAGAAAAGATAGACTACTTAAGGAGATATGTTAGTGGACAAGCTAAGAAAGCACTTGATGGTTATTTCCTGCTCGGAACCAAATCTGCCTATGTTGCAGCATGGGAGATTTTGGAGGAGAGATATGGGAATCCATTTACAATTGCAAAAGCCTATAGAGACAAGCTTCAATCGTGGCCCAAGATAGGATCTAAGGACAGCTTTGAGCTCAGAGATTTTGCAGAACTTTCTCCGTAGTTGCAAGGCTGCCTTGGTCCATATCAAGGCATTAGAAATCTTGAATGACTGTAATGAAAACAGGCAAATACTTTCAAAATTACCAGATTGGCTAACTGCAAGCTGGAATCGGAAGGTTACTGAAGTCCAAGAAGACAGTAAACAATTTCCCTCCTTCAGCCAATTTGTTCACATCATTGCAATCACTGAAGCAAGGTGAAGCTGAAAACACCAAATCTCAAAGACAACAAAGCTTTGCAGCAAAGACACCGACCACAAGTTCAGACGAAAACACCGTCTTAACATGTATTCTCTGTAAGAAGAATTGGCATTCCTTGCACAATTGCAGGAAGTTCATGGAGCAAGCTGTTCCAGACAGAATTAAGTACATTCAAGCTCAGAAGCTATGCTTTGGATGTCTCGAGACTGGCCATCAGTCAAGGAGCTGCCACAGTAGGAGTGTATGTGAAGTGTGCAAGAAGCAACATCCTACCTGTCTGCATGAAGAGCGTACAAATCAAGAAAGATACAAAGAAAGACCTCAACCAACACAACAAGAAGAAAGAACCACAGCAGCTACTTCCAACAGAGTAATACTTGGTGAAGGTTACACGCAAACAGCTGCTATAATTCCAGTCTGGCTTTCATCCACATGTTAACCAGCAGAAGAAATCCTTGTATACGCTCTGTTGGATTCTCAAAGTGAAGTAGCTGAGGCTTTGGAAGCAAGTAAACAACAAGTCAAGCTCAAGCTATCTACTATGACCTCAAGAACCACAGTTGTAAGCGCTCAAAGAGTGAACAACCTACAAGTCAGAGGCTTTTACTCCGGTAAAAAGATTCCCTTACCACCAGTCTATACACGTGACTTCATTCCAGCCAACAGAACTCACATACCAACAGATGAAACTGCAAAAGCTTGGTCTCATCTAGAGCACCTCCAAGGAGAGATTGCACCTCTGCAAGACTGTGAAGTGGGTCTGCTCATAGGTGTGAAACAAAGAACCAATGAATGTACAACCATTCAAAGGCGAAATACCAAAGTTACCTGACAAGACGTGTGCAGTAGTGCTGGGGGGAAACGATTATTTTGAAAACGATTAATCGGGCGATTATTTGATCGATTAGTCGACTAATCTAACGATTATTTTTCTGTTGTTCAATTCATAAAAAAAGTAATGTAAAAAAAAACGTAATGTAAAAAAAAAATTTTTTCACGATACTGTGTCTCAGGGGATCTTAATATTTAAGAACCTATTAATGTGTTATACCAGATTAACGGAAATAATCTCAGCTAATTGACGATACAAACCATGTTTACCAAAACAAAACACAAGTCTCATAAGAAGCATCTAAATGACCCCTGAGCGAAAAATGCTAACGGACATTGGCACAGAACTCAAGATAAAAAGTACCCTTATTACTTATCGTAGCTGCACATACAATATATCCGATTAAAGCTGAGACTCCACAGATTATGTAGGTATATAGTATCATCACTGAGTGATCCGGACTCGCGACAGGGGAAGCAAATACAGTCATCACAACACGTACCTTCACAGAGCTTCTAGGGAGATCGTCTCACCGCCGTAGCTGTCAATCTGATCAAAAGACGTGTTCAATGGCATTAAAATGAGAAAAAAAGCGGCTGAATCGGTTAATCCATAGGTTTTTAACGTCTATGTATAAAAAAATGATTGAATTTATAATCCATAATTCCATTTTATGTAAAAAATCGGAGAGCAAATGCTAGCTGCTAATGGTAGCCACCACAGCTAGCTGCTGCTTCTGCTAGGCTATGCAGCAGTCTCAGTGAGATATAAATATATAAATATCTTTGCGTTTTGGACTAACTTTAACATATTCCCATGCTTTTGAAGACCTAGGGCGAGATGTTTTCGTTTGAGGGCTTCGTGCGCAATCCTGTGAGGAGGAGGTGGTAGCCGTTTCAGTCTCCATTGTGTTTGAAGTGCGATTGCGAACTGCTTGTTGCTTTGGGTGACCCACGTGTGTGTAGCGACGCGTCGACGCGGAAATATGTCGTCGACGATATTTTGAAGTCGACGCGTCGCTACAGCACTAGTGTGCAGTACACCGCCTAAATTGTCTTGAAAGAAGACTAAAAAATCACAGAAGTCTTTCCAGGGTCAGAAAACTTAAATGACTGGTTAGCCAAACCACATTTGACAAAAAGGGGAAACCCATAAATTAGGACTGTGTTCCTTGAAAGACCTGTACACAAGGTTGTTACTCTGCTTGAGGCAGAATAAGGTGTTTAATGTGTTGCCTGAGATTCCATGTTAAGTTGTTATCTACAGGTAATGTCTATTTCAAAGGGTAAAGTGTGTACTTTGTACAAACAATATTTTGTGTGAAATCTCACGAGTAATGTGTGATTTGGTGGGAGTGTGTGCAGCCTTGACATGTTCATAATTTAACTGTAATGTGTATTTTCTAAGTGTAATAATAATTATTGTTGTAATGTTTCATGCGTGCAATATTTCGTCTTTTATTTTGAAGTCCAAGCTCACGTCTCGTTATGCTGTTCTCACGTGAGTTAGAGAGCGAGAACATGAGAAGCACCCTCAGAGTAAGATGCACGGATACTTACAGCTCCGTTAGTTTTGTATTCTTATACATATAAGTTGTGAAGAGAACTGAAGAATACTTCCCTCTGTTTACAGAGCATGCAGCCCAACGAGTTTTCACGGTGGATTCGGAGGAATAAACCCGTTATGAGAAAGCCACTTGTGTCTGCCTGTGCTTCGAGGGAATTACAGAAATGCATACATAAAGTAGCCTCTTTCAGTCTGTAGATCTGCATATTTACCTGTATAGCAGTGGTCAGTATTGCCATCCAGCAGAGTTTCTATCTCATCTGAAAAAAGCATGCAAAAACTATCAACTCACAGTCACAGATGTTTCTCAGAATTGCTGTGTGTTAATATCCTACCATTATCCTGTGTGTCAACTTCTGGAATGGGTGAAAGTCCTGTCAATAAAAACAAAACAAGTTTCTCAGGTTTGAAATGAACGATTGTGGAAAATACTGGATCATAGGAAGACAGAAAAGGGTACATCTTCAACTCATGGATCAGTATGGCATGGATTCAATAAGTATTTCACCTGCTTTTCCTAAAATGCTAGAGTACCTAAAATATTACCTACAGTAAATCCCAAATGTACCATGTGCACCCAAAGCTAAACAACTTTGGGTCGTATGTTTTGTTTAGGCAGGGGGCCTTAAAAATGGGGTTCCATAAATGATCAAATGCCTTAAGTAAGTCTCTACATGTACACAATACATACACAAGAAATAAGGGTGTAAACCTTTTTTAAGGTTGATGCGGTATTAGTGAATTTGCCAAAATCGTTTACCTTTGGGAATGAAGATTTCTGTGTGTATCTCACCATCTGGTAGAAAGATCAAAGGAAACGGCACATCAGGTACATATTGTGATTCATTTCATATACAGGTGTATGAGACAAACGATAATAATTAAGGGAAAATAACAGACTCCTAGTTCAATAGTGCCCTGTCACCTGTTATGACAGTTTGCTTGCTTTAAATGATCCATTGAGGAACAATTGCAGTATTGTGAAGTAGTGTGTATTGAATGTACAAAATTGCTTGTAATCAGTTTTGGATTCAGTCTTGACCACAGGTGCTGAAAACGAGCCGTGTGTATCTGGGGTTACTGTATAAGGTGTCTACTCTCACTTTGATAAGGAACAGAACTGAAAATGTGAGCAAGAATGGAACATTCTATATAAAAGGAATTCATAGGACACATTCATATTTACCTTTTAACCCCTGGCAGTGATCCCCAGTGACATCATAAACGACAGGATGCACCATGGGCTTTTCTGACAAAAATGAGAAACATTTTCAGGTCAACGCTTAAAGATCAAGCTGTGTGTGTATGTTGCAGGTGTGTGTGTGTGTGTGTGGCAGGTGTGTGTGTGTGTGTGTGTGTGTGTGTGTGTGTGTGTGTGTGTGTGTGTGTGTGTGTGTGTGTGTGTGTGTGTGTGTGTGTGTGTGTGTGTGTGTGTGTGTGTGTGTGTGTGTGTGTGTGTGTGCCTTACTGCAGGAGTTCCTCCTCCAGTAGATGTGTCCGAGCACAGTTATGACGATAGTGAGCACCACCACACCGAGCAGAGCCAGACAGAATGCCCTGAACACGCACTGCCACTCATCTAAAGAACAGAGAGGGATTCAAGCAGATTCATTTACTGTCTCAGAGCATCTCCTCAGTCCCAGGAATACTCCATCCTGATTGTAAATCACTGATGGGACATTATTAAGACTAACAGATGCCAGTGATTGTTCATTTCAAGGAATCTAGAAGCCTGTTCCATAACCCTGTCAGGACATACGTTATCAGCCTCTTTTTCAGTTGCCAGATTGTTAATACTGTTCTCCAGCTCGCTTTCTAAACCTTTTAACCTTAACACTTTACCCTGAAGGCTTATGTACCTTAATTTGTATATATAAACAAGAACACCTCCTGTTTGTTTGAGTGTCTGTCTGCACTTGGGTGCTTTCCCTTGTTGCCCTGCACTCACCCACATGACACATGTTATTGGTGGACATTAGAAAGGAGAAAAAAGACAGGAAATGAATCCATATAAGCCAGAGACAGAAATAAGGAAATGAATGAATAGCAGCAGATAAGAAACGGAAGGGGTATGGTATGGAAATGTTTAGTGGAAGCATGAAATTAAGATTGATACCCAGCTTTCAAGACACACTGGAACATATAGCCTTAAGCTTGGGGAAGTGTTGGAGAGAGAGACAAATGGAAAGAGCTCCAGACAGAATCAATACAGCCTTCGAGATACAGTTTATTAAGATGTACTGTATACCTCTGATCATACAGTACAGAGAGAGGAAGAGAAACAGCGAGAGATTTGAGTCAAAAGAACAACAACTGAGGAAAATGTCTTCAATTGGAAAACAATTCTCCACTGTGGACTGAGAGAGAGGACAGCCTTAAAATCAATTTGACCTAAAATGAAAACTGATTGTCCAATTTCTTTCCTCTCCTTTCAAATTTTAGATTGAAGCCACACTGACCACACAAAGAAAAATGAGCTCTCTATTCCTGACACCTACCTTTCTCTGTCCGTTTCCATGGCAACTTTTCCTTTGCTGTTGCATTCAAAACTGTTTGATTGGCGAGCCAAAGGAGACAGTGGCTTTGATTGGCTGACTCCGAGATGGGCAGGGTAGGGAGACAGCAGTAAAATGCCTTCCTCTGTCCTTCTTTATCCTCCTCTTCCTTGTCCTCCTCCTCAGGTGGATAGAGGTGTAGGGAGCTGTGATTAGTGTGGCCATATAAGGTGAGATTCAGGGTCTCTGCATCCCCTAATTGAAGCTCCACTGACACCACCAAATGTATTTTTAGAGCTGTGAAGACACAGAAAGAGGAATACATTGATTACAGCCATGCTACGTACATTTGCTGAAGAAAACCGTGCATTGTTGTTGAAGTATCGTAGCTCGGAATGCACCCTATGACGTAGATTATATTTAAATGTTCATGATCATATCAGGATTTTTGCAGTCATGCCATCGTATCTGTTTGGCTTTTCTTTTTCTTTTTTGCAAAGTTCTGTTGAGAGCCATCATTTGCTAACAAGGGAGGGGTTAATTGAATGCCCTTTTATTCCTCTGGGATTTGCTTTTTTTAACATTTGCAAATAACTTAACTAGAATACCGATCTTAAAGATGTCTCATCACCTTTTGTTGCTGGGAAAGCAGAAACACTACAGTTATTGATGGCAGTGTAATTAATGTCCAGGAAGAACTACAACTTCATGTGTAAACAGGGCCATAGATGTTGATATGAGTTAAAGTTGAACTGAAATATTTTTAAATCCACATGAAATGATGAGCAACAGAAGTCAACAGGATTATTTTTGTCTCGGGACCATGTATGTCTATTTAGAATTCAAAAAGGCAGCCTATTATGCTATTTTTTGTATTTTGTGATTCTTCTGTTTAAATGCGTTAATGGATAAAAAGGTCTTTCTTTTCCTCATACTGCATATGCTGCAGCACCTCTTTTCACCCTCTGTCTGAAAGCCCAGTCTGCTCTGGCCGGCCCTGTTGTGATTGGTCAATAGAAGCGTGAGTGTTCCATGATGTTTACATGCACAAAAACCTATACTGTAACACAGGAAATGGAAAACCCCAAAAAGCATAATAGGGCCACTTTAAGTCTGTACCAATGTGCTGACATCCCTAAAGCCACATTGCTAGCATGCCTAAAAACAATGAAAATGTATATTTTTAGTAGTACCTGAAGATGAGCTATGTCTGTGTAATTGTGAAACGTCAACATCTGTTTCACACATGAACCAGCTCTGTTCTGGGTCTCTGGAGGCGCTCCTGGACTCAGGATCTGTCGTGTTGCTCTGATGCTCTTGTGTGCAGTCTTGCCCGAACCCGTCACCTTCTGGAGTCTGTGAGGGGTCACACACATCTTTTTTTGTAATTTCAGCATCCCCAATCTTTGCTTTTCCCCCCTTCTTCACCCGATACCCTCCCTCACAGCGTCGGTAGGGCAGGCAGAGGAAGTTCACTTTTGATACTGAAAGGGGAAAGCAAATGAACAGAAAAGTCAGAACGATTTCTCGGCAGCAATGGAAGAAATGCAAAGTGCACTCTATTCAGAATTCAAAGCAAGATCCCAAAATGGAAGATATAGCCTCCAGTTTATATCTGACACACAGGGCAAAATCATTGAAGGCGAACACGTGGCCAAGTACAAAGGCTAATGCAGGCTGCTCTCAAAAAGAGAACCATCTTTTCAAAGCAACACAATACGGAAACAATTTCAAAGCGGCTGTCAGTCAATGTCTTGCTGAATGGAGCTATATTTGGATATGACTCTTAGCTCAGAAAGAATGATGAAGAGGTTGAATCAGACAGTGACAAGAAATCAAAATGTATTAAATGAAGTAAACTTCTCTTAATGGTAGACTTTAGTTATTATAGTGTAACCAACATTTTTAGGAAAACTAAGCCAAAACAATCACTTCCTCCTTTTTAACTTCTTCAAGAGATTGTGACCCAATAGTGACATTTATATAAAATCACCCACCTCTGTACAATGTGAAGAAATCTGGGAGGCAGATGATGAAGGCGAGGATCACGAGGATGAGGAGTTTAGTCAGTGCTGCTCTTGTCATGGTTGCACCATAAGATCTCACACACAAACGTATTCCCCCTGACAGAGGCATGACCTGGGGCTTGTGCTATCTACTTCCTTTTCTTGAGTTCTGAAACAAACACGTGTTTTCAGACCCAGCATCACAGAAATGTTTGGTAGAAGCCTGCCTCGATATTATCACATACGTCTTTCAGAGGCAGGCCACAACGCAGAAAAAACTACACTTCCTTTTGCACTTCCTGTTTTTTTCTAAGAAAGAGTGAAAATGGAGTTTCTATCAGCAGAATGTAAGTAGATGATTCGATATGTGAATGATGGATAGAGGATCTATCCTGTTTTGTATTTGTGTGTTGCATATCTGTAAAGAGACATCAGCTTATGTTATATTTTTGTGTAAAACAGAAAGAAACATAGACATTTATATTCCCCAACTGTATGGTTGACTGTACGCAATGTCGGTTAAAGAGGGAAACTCCCCTCAACAAAACACACCTTAGACACTCCAACACTACTTTCTCCTATAGAAGCCCATTTCAACCATTATGTTTTCTTTATTTCAAATGAATCTGATTATGACTTTTTATCTCACTTGTGCCAGATACGGGTAAAAGAAATAGGCATCTAATACTGATGTCAGTAGTTCTATAACAGTTTGTCATTACTATGACTTTGTATTTCATACGTTTAGCAGCAGTATGCCATCATTTTGAAGTGTCTTTTAATAATGAGATACATTTATTTTATTATAAGGGAACTATCATCATAATTTTTGCCTTAGTTTAAATTATTTTTACGAATTTGCAGTGTTGTGTGTTTGATCATTATGACATTGTTTCTTAAAATTGATTACACCTTTCTTTAGTATATGATTACGTCATACTGTAATTAGTAGTACAATTATTCAAAAGATAATAGTTAAAAAAGAAAATAAATGTATGATTAATCTAATACTCGCTACTCTGAATAGTGTAGCCTAAGCAGTTACAGGTAATGGATGGATAAGTGGAGAACATCTCTCAGGCGTTTCCCATTATTATCACATTATCAGAATGTCGCTCATAATTAGGACTTACTGTAATAGTAAAAAAACAGGTTATTTTTTTCTTGTTGCTTAAATTAGCTACCTGGGGCTAGCTGCCACTCCTTTTAATTAACATGACCAAACAATAGAGAGATGATACAGTAGGTGTGTCTGTTGCTGCTGAAGAGGACATTAGCTTTCTGTTTCTCGTTTCCCGCTTTAAAAAAAAAAAGTATATTTTCTTTGTAACGTTTAACTTGTTTAGTGTTCAGTGAAGCTTTGGTTTCCTGAGAGCCACTTATCTTTGAGGACCTGGAACACACGCTCACACACGCTCACACACACACACACACACACACACACACACACACACACACACACACACACACACACACACACACACACACACACACAGATTCAGATAAACACACAGTCTCAGACAAACACCCTTATATGAATACACACAAACACAGTGATGTGCATGGCTGGCAGGTGGAGCCTTATCTCCGCTCTGCAGCAGCTTGCCTCTCAAGGCTCAGTCGGCAGCTTAGAATGGGATTGAAGCGGCCACAACCAAAATAAAAATAAAACACTTTCTGTCTTTTCATGGTCAGTCAAAGCTGCTTGACAGCATTTCCACATATTTAAAATGAATGGCTCAAATGCATTTACCATAGTACCTGGGATTGTCGATAGTTATAGCACATCTAACAGCTTTGTGATTATAGATATATATTATTTATGATATAGTGAAAAATCTTTAGTTTGCAGGTCACTGGTATGTGATTCAAGTGATGGCAGTATTTCCATGAATAATTTATATTTCTAAACAAGATTAAATAGCTATGAAGACCAGTCTTTGTTGATTGTTTTATGCAAACAAACTATAGAAAAACACTGCAGGCTTTAAAGCACAGCCTCACATTTGATAAAGGTTTTGTCAGTACCCCATGTTGTTAAAGATTACTATGATCTTTAATCAAACTGACTTCGGCTGATGAAAACCTCCAGTTGAAAAAAATCAAGGTTTCTTTGTGAAGAGCTTCTATGTTATCTCGCAACGCCACAGCGATGAAAGCTGAGAGTTTGAAGATAACAGAGGCAGGTGAAAAGCCTCATCAAAACCGTTTTATTGGCTGCAGTGATGGTGAAATTGAAATGTTCCACATATTTCAGGGCACCAGCTGGAAACCCCTTAAGACTCCTCAAGCTTCCTTGAAACCGTGTTAGAAAACCAGAGGTATGGCATCACAGAAATCCAATTAATCATAACTGGGTTTAATTGGGTGGAAGCTCCAGCAGATTGACAATATTCCTGGAGAGACTTTGGCCCTGAGAGAATGGCAGGTGTTCAAACTCTATGATGTGGGGATGCTTTACCCTATTTATCTATTTTTCTTTTAAGCAGGACAGCTTAATGATGGGGATGACAGGTGGCTTGATGTTGGTTGATTCAGATAAACTATCTTGAAAGTAGTGGCCAGATTGCGATTCACTTCTGTATGGATGATGATGCACAGAGCAAAGATTTTTTTGTAACCCTACATCTAACGTCAACAGGTTTACATTTCATCCACAAAAAAACCCTTGGTCCAAAACAAGCCATCAGCCATATTTGTTTTGAAGCAATAATTCAACATTTAAGCTTTTCGTTTGAGTGGGATGAGAAGATTGATAACACTTTATTGTCTACGCTGAATATGCTCATTTGAATTGTGCACAGTAAATATCGAATTCTATGGATATAAAAAGCTCCTTCAGGTATTATCTGACCCAATGGCTTTTACTCCGGGTCAATCCTCAATACCAACTTTCTGTTTTTATCTTCTATGCAATAGCGTTGCTGAGAAAGAGTGAAGCTGTCGTTATATTTATTGTTTTGTTTCAACAATTTTATAGGCTGCAATAAACTCCGTCAGTTTTGGCATAAGGTCAGACCAATTTATTAATTTGATTCAATCAAGCAAGTGATTTGGTCCGTCACACAGAGCTTACAGTATGCATCAATCTCTTTAACGCTGCTTTCAGAAATTCTACTGCTGCAGTGCAAATGCTGACCGTGCGTGCTCAGTGTGAAATGAGACCATTGTCCTTCTCAGCTCTTTTCTTCTAGACCCAGTCATTTGCTAAATATTATGAATATTAACCATAAATCTTTTGAGCGATACTGCATGGGAGCTATTTTTGGAGCTCTGCATTACGGCAGCATCTGATGTCGAGAGTTTGGAGATTGAATGTAACAATGTGATGAGATTAGGGATTTAGGTACACGAGAGGATATTTAACAACACGCTCCGCAGGCTCAGCGCAGTTTAAGGTTGTATTTCAGGCATGAGATGTTGTACACTTGATCCTTCTCATCATGTCCTTGCTGAGTTGACTTTAATCCCTGGATCTGCTTGAAATGGACACAATGATGCTCTCAGATAAACTAAAGCGTCAATAGGTGGATTGTATGCCCTGTCATATGTATTCTTCCAACTGATTTCTCACATTTATGGCTTATTCTCTCGTCCGATTTATACACTTGTTAGTCGGCCTTTATATAATGCAATCGATATGAAAGATATTGTTTTAATTAAGGTTGTCTCCTGGGCTACAATAATATCTTATTTTAATGTGTTCATTTTTCGGCTCAGCTTTAATGGATTGTCTGCTGTGACCTTTCTGACTTGTCTCTTTTGTTAGTTGTCATTTTGCCTTGGCGTATAAACTAGTTTCCCCTCTGAGACATAATGAAGTCATCTATTGATTACATTGCCTTTTAGAATTTAAAATGTATGCCTGCTAATAAGATACAGACTTACCACTTCAGACCTTCTGCTGTCAAATGCATATGTTGACTGATAATAACTAGCAGACCCCTTAATTATATTTTCTTTGTATATGAGCATGGAGGTTCACTCTTGACATTTGGGAACATTGTATGCAGCTATACAGGCACAAAGGTCCCCTTAGTGGTTTTCAAAGCTTCTGATCTTCAGTCTCACCCCTCCTCTCTCAACCTCTTAAGTAAATGGGGCTGGCGTAGGTGTTTTCATGTGATATGGTTGTATATGAGTGCAAAGTCGTTCTGCCTACCTCTATCCGAAGATGGTCTCTCTCAGGTGGCATGAGAGTGGCTTCCTTCATCTTTCCCTGGACATCCACTGTTTGAAGCTCTGACAACTCATTTCGCCTTTTTTCGTTGTTCATTTACAATTGTACCATTCAACTTTTGTGGCACGTCATGTCCAGTTTTCAATTTCAGGCTTTCTGGACCTGTTTTGTACTTTTGCGTTAAAGCCAAATCACAGAAGGGGAAAATAGAAAACAGAAATTACTTGTAACTAAAAGTTGATAAATAAAGTGGAACGTTGAGAAACTAAGGTCAGATATTTTGCTCAGGAGGTAGTTGATGTAGACCAAAAACAGATCTAAAGACTTTAATTTACCACTGGCCATAGCCACAACTCATAATCAATGCTAATGTTGCTCTCTTACTGGTGTACTCATTAACAATATACCGACTGTGTTGTGGTATTTCGAACTTATGGCTAACAAGTTAACTGAGAGACAATGGGGTATGAGTTGTGAGCATGTTTTCCATAAAAAAGAAAAGAAAAAGAGAAGTGGCAAGAGGAGGAAGGGCATGGTGATTTAGAGCTGTGTCAGCAGTAGAGCGTCAACGGCTTCTCCAGAGATGAAGCCGTTGTAAAGCTTTATGACTCTTTATGGAGAAATGACGACGTTTCAGGGAGAGATTATCGTTATGAGCAAACCTTTAAAGGTGATGAAGGTTTCCAGATTCATCATCCTTGTGGCTCTGATTTGTCTCGCTGCCTGCCTGTCTGATCCACTTTGTATTCGTCCTATGTGCTCAGAATATAGTTTGTCCTTGACTCTTTCTCCTGTCCCCTCCTCAGTGTTTTGTTCCCTCAAAGAAATATGGGAGGCCTCTAATGCCAAAGTTTCAAGGTTTTAAGAGTCAACCACATCGTCTCTTTTCAGGTGTGGCTGGGAGTGTCTATCTGTGTGAATGGGGAAGGCAGTACTTGAAAGGATGGTGCGCTAAATGGGGCTAAAGTGGGTTGAGTTTACAGGATGCCCTGAGCCATCATAGTGCGGCATCTCT